GGCATGGAATGATGGGGGTTCAAATCCCCTTGTGTGTAGTTTGTTTCAATCTTGTTTAAGTTTTAAAATTGCCTGCGTATATTTTCTATACTATTGTAATACCCCAAAATTTTGGGGTATTTTAGCATTAAATTGGGGACTTATTTGAAGAAAAATATTATTTTGGGCTTAATCGCAAAATTTTCAAAAGTTGGGGGACCTAAAAAGAAAGGAAATAGGATAAGGATGAGCAGTCTTCCTTTTTCTTTTTATTCTTTCTTCTTTCCTTCCCCATCAGACCCGCGTGCCCTGCTCTTCCTCTCCCTCGACCCTCTGCACCCGACGAACTCCCCAGCCACCGCCACCCATTTTCCGGCCGGAAATTCGGCAAAGCTTAGGGATTTCTCTCTATTTCCTTGTTTTAGAACACCTGTTGGACCCAGAAAATCTTGAATCTGCTCTAGTCTTTTTCCCCTGTCCGCGAGCCGTTTCTGTTGGGTGCGATTCTTGGGCTTTTCTAAGCCGTGAGTTTCCCCCTGTACTGCCGTCGGTCTTCCCCCAACTGCAGCTCTGGTTTTTGGCTGGATTTCCTGGTGTTGATCGTTCTATCACCGTAGCACTTGGGTTAGTCTTCTGTTCTGTGCGAGTGAGGTAAGTAAATTATGGTAAAGCCTTCGATTTCAAAGCATGTTTTCAATTGTTTTTGAGATGGTGGCAAGGTTTAAATTGATTTTAAATTGATTTTATCAACATCTGAATGTGATTAAACTGAAATGGAAATTGTGATGGTTTTTATGAGAATTTCATTGTTTTTCTGGAATAGAGCATGCCTATTTGGGAATTGACTGAACTGCTTTGATGAATTGAGAATTTTGTAAATGTTGAGTTTTCTGTTAAATCCATGCCTGCATGGAAATTTTCCGGTTTGTTCTCAAATTCGGGATTGATTGTGAAATTCTGGTTTTTCTGTAAATCCTACATGGTTTTGTCTCTGATATAGTCATGAATTCCGATCCCCGCTAGTGGGTGTGTAGCATCCCTGATCCCCGCTAGTGGGTGTAGCGCTAGCACTCCTGATCCCCGCTAGTGGGTGTGTAGCATCCCTG